GACTCTTTTATTTCATTTTAGCGTAACACGATTCTGTTACACATGTACATAAGGAAAAGCACATTAGCTGAATCGACATAACAACGTATACGGCCTAAAAGGCCATATTGATCCACGTAAAGGCTTATTTTATACATAGTTAAAAAATCTTCCGATTAACTATCATCTTCAGTCGAACGCGGTCTCATTCCACCAAAAAGCCTAAAAGCCTTCTGCCACCATGTTTCGCTTGCGACCGAACGCATCATCCTCAACCGATGAAAGGGCTCTGTTCGCCTTAATAATCGTTAGTCTCCTCTAGCCGTTGGCAGCACTATCATGTCCCATCGTTGCGTGATCGTTCTAATCACTCCGCGCATTCTCAACGACTTGCAGTAGCTGCACGACTGTTAAATGTGCCGTGGCGCAAGGACCGTATGTGTCCTAAATCCTCGCAATTGACCTTGGTGAGGTCAAGCTATGTGATAAGATCTCGGCCTTCGCTAAAGACTAATCTCATTTCATGAACTTCCCAAAAAATTTTAAAAAAACGAGTACATTAGCTACATTCGTAATACTTGGACAAGTGATGATAACGGCTATCCGCCAGCACAACAATGTAAAAAAATATAGCCACAGTGACCAACTAAAGTATGGTACGCACGAGTTTGTTGTTGTCTAATGTTGTTATCGTCTGCTGGTGCCGTCGTGTGCTGTTGTGCTGTTATCGTCTGCTGCAACAATGCGCCTCAATACGTCGTCTGGCGGAAACAGGTCACGGGCTCTGCAGGTCACTGAGATGTTCAGCAGTAATCGTTGAGGGGCGGCACGAGCCAATAAAAGTTTGAAGGACGCAAAAAAGAAGTAACAAGCCAATCTACAGGAAGCTTTTAGGGGCGGATAGTAAGATAAAGCATTCTGATATCATACGTCGGGTGGGTATGTAGACATATGACCCAGAAAGGCGCTGCCTTTATGCTGAATAAACCTCGACATGCGACGTCAGGGGAAGCGCTGCGAGACTAACTAAAGACTAGTAAATATCTTTATGGGACGGTAACAACAGTATCAAGACTACACAGATAGCCTCTTCTAGTTTCTTGACGAAATTAGCTTGTGAAAAATGAGTTTGAAATGTGCAGCTGAACCGGCCTTTCTAAACATTTAGAGTACAAGTCCAACACCGCTAATAGGAGTTCTGTAAAACGGCAGGCTCCCAGCATAAAGTGGGTCTACTCTTAGATACGAACTCACATCACGTGTCTTATAAGTTTAGCAGGAAGACACGGTACTTGCTTCGCCACCACCGGGACAGCCTACCAGCCTAACTAATCAGTTATGATAAATGGGACTATATCGTGGTGTCCTGAAACCAAACATTATGATCAAGTGGGTAGGTATAAAAACTATGAAGTGTTGCAGATAATGTTTACGACGGGCAGCATGAGGACGGGTAGACTTCAGAAAGGCATTGGTAACATCAAATTTTAATACAGGAGCATGATGATCACAAATAATGGTCCACTTTTAAAATACTTTGTAGATGGTTTTAACCATACATACTTATTACTCTAACGTATTTCTCATCGTTAAGTGCGTGCAACAATTATTTCCTTACTTCGTTTTAATTACGCGTTAAGACTGCTTCGTCAAGCCAGTGCTAGCAGGTAACAGTTCGATCGTGTTATCGGGGAGAAAGAATATCGTTTTTATGCGAATTATTGACAATATTCCATAATTGACTTTTGATTCCGTAACAGATAACAATCGGGTAAATGGCTTTCTATGAGTCGGAGCAAGGCTCATCGTGTCTGAGGCCATGTGAGGTATATAAATGGGCCTATTTTAACGCATGATTCAGTTCAAGTTGACCTTTGTTCCGCATGACTTCATCGCATAAGCTAAATATGTCTTCAAGGTAATTCAGTAGTTCGACCGATTTCAGCGCATAATGGCAACGATACGAGCGTTGTCAGGGGCCCTTGTCTCTCACTGGAAGAGGTACTTTGCAATAGTGCAGAAGTAAATGACAGCGCTGAGATCAACAATTCAGGCCTAATCAAATGGTTTGTCAATTAAAATAGCATTACAACATTTATTACTCATGCCCTAAATCTAATCTATATGTCTTCAGGCACTATTCATTTGTTAGACATTGATATATTTGCAATATCTAAAGGCTTTCAGAGGACCGCTTTTTTATCGCGTTTTTCGGCCGATAGAAAAATGTGCGTGAGAATTTTTAAGCAAGAACCCTGAAAGAGTCTTTTATCACTTCCGCTACTGAATAATGATCTGGGCGCTCAGGAAACACAGATGTGATTCGATCGCGTCATCCCCTTACTCGTCTTAACTCTAGGCCCTTTTTTATCCACAAACGCGGAATTACCTGTAACTCGATAGCTAACGTTAGATACAAGAATTAAGGAAAGTGTTTTGACAGTCAACTTAGGAACCCTATTAAAAACCACGGAAGCACCGCGGTCATCTAATCAATAATTGGGTATCTTACATGCGTTAACCCTGTTTACAGATTGCTTTGTTCCGTCATAGTGGAGTTTGTACTTATGCTATACTTATATACTAATACTTGTATCACCATTACATAACGGCCAAAAGAGACAGACTTTCAAATATCGTTATTTCAAGATCTCGAAGCTCACTTTAGCGCCTCAACTTCATCAACAATCGACAAACAAAATCCCTTCAATTCACGGCGTGTTGTCAACATGTGATTACACTCTCAGCCATTAATTTCCATTGTTAACAATGTCGTATCATTCGTGTACCCCGTCAGACAAGTCTGAGTGAACATTACTGACCGCTGAGACAGTGAACTGCTCTTACTTGGTGGCCTCTCAAGTTATCAAATTATCTGTCTCGGGCTACAAGGCATGTAAATTAAGGCGACTGGGCTATTATTCCACAAAACCAAGTGATACAAACTCAAGGACAAGAAGATGAGGACTTACAGAAAATCAAGGGCTGAAAGAAGCAAGAAATAGGCCCAACAACGTTTGACCTTTCTTTCCCTGTATCGCCGTGTCCTACTAGTTTCGTCGGTCTCTTTGACCCAAGAAGATACGAGAGCGTTTCTCGGGAAAGAAGGTCCTTCCCAACGCCTCTGATCGCCTCCGCAAACCTCGTTATGGCTTGCCTGACCGCAAGGCCAGCGGCTGTACTTGCGGTATGCGATGGGTAGAGCTGGTTTGCTGCTTTCTGTGGTCAACAACAATAGTGGCAGCGATGTAGTCTCGACGTAGAATCCACAAGCACCGTCTTGTTCGCCCTGCCAAGCTCGTTTGCCTTCTACCAAAACCGCGTTTATCATGAAGTAGGCAGCAGGCATTTACTCTCCCAGCCTTCGCACCGCCATCACCAAATGCATCACCTCTCGGACTGAGCGCTACTACGGCGGGGCGTGCGACGGCGTAATAATGAGTCTGTCTTTCTATCCGTCTGTCTTCTTGTAGCCGCCGACTGCAGTGAGTAGTTAGTGTCGTGCACCGTTCCCCTATTGTATCAACCGTAAACGAAGTAGCAACGGAAGACACCGTAATGTACATATAAGTAGTAGTGTTAGTGGTACTAGTACTGGAGTGACTAGCCATCGCGCGTCCTTCCCTGATCTACTACCGGAAAGATTCAGTTGCGCCTGCAAGCGTAGCCTAGTCTATGGTATTGGGCTTGGAGGAGGAGGAGGGGGAGGAGCAAACAGATAAACTGATTAGCTCACGTAGCTTATAGAGGGCAAACATATGATACCGCCGTTGGTCTTAAGGGAGGTTCTAACCGCTGCGGGCGACAGGTAGGACAGCGATACTCGCGCCACGTACCACCCAGTTACCACCAGTACAAAAGGGACAAAACAGAACGACACTCACACAAATCGAGACAGTGAGAGATAGCAGGCTATGCAGAAAGAAAAAGCCTGAGAAAGAAAGAGCGGCTGGCTGCTGGTTGCTTCGTGGAAAACCTGCGTGCGTGCACGATAGCCCCTTTGCTAGCTGTGGGACCACAACTGGATAGGCTACGCCAGTTACAACAGCAACGGCCTTAGCTGCGGTGGTAGTAGCGATTGCATAGCCACTGTCTCTTGTTGCTCGCTTGTTTTAACGGAAGGTCCAAGCGAATACCAAAGGACCGCGTCAGTCTTCCGTCTCAGCCTATAGCAGACAGTAGAACGGTGGGGCCCCAGCTGCACCTCATTTATAGCCCAACTAAATTAAACTGCAATTAACAGAGCGCAATAATGCAGTATCCCAAACGAACTCAGTTGCGCGTCGGATTCCCACCCGTTGGATAAACCTGGTCCAGCATTAACGAAGTCGGCTATCCAATACCTTGATGTTTTTACCCTCTGGAAATTATACCAAGCTTGTTGATACACGTACTAATGTGCTTGTGTTGCATCGTTATATTCCTTACATACAAATCCCTGGATTAAGAATTCGCTTTTTCGGTGGCTATTTTCTCATCAAGGCTCGACAACTGAGAAAATTACTGAGGATAAGTCGTGCGCGATTTTTGTGATCGGTTATCTGGTATTCCTCCTATATAAATTCCCCTAACGGTCATTGAGCACCTTGACGGATTGCGCTGGCTAGTAACAGTTGTGAGTTATCTTAAGTGAAAATCCCTATAGCTTAGACACCGGTAACTAATAAAGGGGTTTATGATGTAAACAGTCGTGGATGCTTCAGATGGATGCCTCTTTGAAGTATTTATTGATCTAGTGAAAGCTTTCGTTGTCGCAAGAAGAAAGCCAACTGACTGGGCGTTACCTAAGAACCAAGTAAATTCCTGAAATTTGGCTGGCGTTTTCCGCTAAGGTGCTTCTCGATTCTCACTTCGTTTCCCTTCACCGTATCTTCGGTTTCTGAATGAGATTTGTGTTCACTTTTGTCTGCTTTTCCATCATCCCCCGAGAGAGAAAAAAAAAGAGTTGTGGCGTTGGTTGTTCAATGATGCCGGATTGACCTGATGATGATTTCAATATTTGGTGATTGCCCTCTACGCAGTTTTCGTCAATATGAGTGCGCTGACGCGACGCTTCGTCAAGACGACGACAACGACAACCGTCACGAAGTCGGAGAGCGAGGGTCCCACGGCAACTGAAGGAGGCGAGACTAAGACCGTCACGGTAACCAAGAAAAAGAAATCTATCGATAACGGACTCGAACGCAAGGATAGCAAACAGGAAGAGGTCAGTTAAATTATTCAATGAGGCAGCTTATCAATACGCAGTCAATCAATTGTAATTATGTCCGGATTAATTAATGGGGAAGATACGAGGGCCGCAGAAACGTGATCCTTGATGTTTGCCTGCGTATAAAAGCTAATCTTCAAATTTAACGTTCCTATACTGCTTCAAAGATATATTTTATGTAGCGTCGTCAACACTTCTTGGATGTTTATTTTTACCGGTCACACAATATAATAATGGTACAATATAGTACCCATTAACCGTTGGCTTAAAATTTGGACCAGAAAGTACACGACTGTAATGATTGTTATAATAACTACACGTGCGTAACTTATAGTAGTTCACTTGTATATTTGGTCGTCGAATTCCCGTTCCAGCGAGTCCGAATTCTGTTCTTCTTTTAAATAGAAAACAGTATTTCTATCAAATAAATACAGCGCTAATGGCTATACCTCCCCTATTAGGAAACAAATAGCAGGCAAAATGTATAGAGAACAAGTACGGATTATTGTTGGGTGGGGGGCAATTCCCCAGTAAAATCAAAGTTATATTGATGTTTAGCATGCCCAATGTGTCGGCCCGATTTAGCAATGTGGGCTGGCAACTATTATATTGTATTTGGATCGCTAAAATGCAGCCCCTCTTCCCGCACCAATGAAAAGCCCTTTGTTGAGCTTTGCAATGACTTTGCCCATTAATTACATAACTCTGGTCCGAATGTTGTCATTTCCGAGACTGCTCAACAAAGCAAGTCATCGACCATTGATTGGCGCGCGAAAAAACAAAAAACGTATTGTAATAACCGGTAGCAGTAGTATAGTCGCACTGATAGATGGCTGCATTTTCGACATGAAGATTCTTAAATTTGGCCATGGGTAGACTCATCTATATAAATGAAAGCGGAGTGAACGCTCTCGAGTCGCAGTGAGGAATGATTAGCCATGCTGATGTCTTCGCACCTCGTACATAAACTTCGTGCTCTCAAGAAAAGGTCGCGTTTTTGCAAATTTCCGAGTACAAATTGCCCCATGGGAAATCTCGGACGATTTTTGTACATTGCGTACCGGTATGATGAAGTCTGAAGTGCTTGATAAATTTACAGTGCCATTTCTTTTGCATAGCAACGTGCGTGTATAATTTAGCTGACGCTTTTTATATTTGATGCTAAAAATTCGAATCGTTCTATCTTCTAATGCTTTTGTTTTTCTCGAAAAAAAACATCAATGTTAAGAATTTTTCGACCCAACGCTATTCAGCAAACCGGGACATTGCCTATTGTTGGTCAGATACTCAGGTCTTCCTGACGTCCTCCGCAGGGATTGAATTTCGAATCTGTACTTAGTGCAGCTTCGAAAAGAACAGCGCCCACATTCATCCTGTGGAAGTTAACCGTCATCCGAGACAACATGCTACTGAGCATTTGGGTCGTTCAATGTGTGTCCCTAACTTTAGGCCACTGTCGGCTTTTAGGCCGTCGAGTTTTGTGCGCAAGGTTGGCGCCAGCGGCAAACGAACGGTTGGTTCATAGATCGAATACGAACAGTTAAGCCGAAAAAGAGTGACTCTACTTATGTGAAGAAATAGACTGTCGTAAGAAACGTTACCTTTTCCCGAACGCTGCCCGGCAATGTGCCGGCCAGCGATCAGCAAACATAACGCCCCCTTCTCTGGGCCCTGTTCGAAAGATCTAAATGGATGGTTTCAAGCAAGGTCATTTGGTATGGCCAAATTTTGGTCAGCTTTGTTGAGGGATTACTGCATATAGGCGTGTCGCTTAGCTTGTAGGAGATCTGAGACTAACCAATGCTCATATATTTACCGAGTGTAAATACGATCACCGAGGGTCGAATTCAGTAAATCAGAAACACACTATATAATACTAACGGCCGCGATACATAAACTATTTGTACACTGCACCAGACGCTCACTACAGATCAAAGTTACTTCATGCGTCGGTTGTTTTTGTTTCTACAATAGTTAATAACTTTTGTTACCAGCTTTAGTTCTATCAGTAGGCAGCCTTGACAATTAGCCAGGTTGTACCGATGTCGGATGCTGATTCAAACACGTGCTAAATCTTTATCTATAAAATCTTAGCTTCATGAATAACCAAAGCGGTTATAGTAAACAATATTGAAAGGTATTTAACTGAAAAATATTTACACAAACATAGCAAAAAAACATCAAGAAATAGGCATCCGTTTTTCACCTATTGGCCATAAACACTTGAAAGCGTTTTCACTGATCTCAGACTACTGAAATTTTAATGGGATCTGACAAACAGATTCGAATATCTATCTACCTTATCTCCGATTGGCCGATTATATTCAACTTTCACCCATTAGTAACCGATTTACAAATTCTAGTACCACACTGGGCTTTCTGGGCTCTTTTCCAATGCCTTCTTCTGTCCTCGCTCAGTCTGTTTCATACGAAAGTAGCCTTAGTTCATATTTCCGTTTAGGCGTAGTTAATTTTTATTTTGTATGTGTATGCGTATGTGTTTGTGCGTGTGTGTGTGTGTTTTTATTCGAATATATCCTAACATGTTTCCGTTTGCTCTACATTTAATTCGTTTCTTCCGCAGCTGTTTCTCTCTGGCTACGTCAATTGGTTGTTGACCATCAAATAGAGTATTCTTCAAGACGATCTGAAAGCTCATTCAGCGGGTTACTGCTATTTTCTTGCGCTCTCAGTGTCTTCTCTGGAAGAGGAAGCTTGAAGACATAGCATTGTTAGAGTCCTCCAAGTAGCAGTACTTCGTATATTCCCATTCATTATAGATTCTCATGCAGTAGTCTCGCAGTTGTGGCAGTTCCCTAGCAGGACTGAGCGGGAAGGCCTCTTGAAGAACGACACCAGTAGCAACAAATGAAAATGGGCGCGTTCGTCTATTGACTGGCAGCGCACAACATGACATGTTATGATGGCGATGCTGCCTAACAGCAGGTTATCTCAGTCTTGTGGTCCTAAGGTGAACTATCGCGTTCTGCCGCTGTCCACGAGGGTAGCCTATAGACAGCTTAACAAGAACGCGCCCGCATATTGGTCCTTCGGCTGCAGTTGCTGATAGGCGCCAGATTGCTCTCGCTTGACGACAACTTTATCTTTGAACGTGTGTTGTACAGCCGAGCTAGGCTTCCATCATTATGTGTCGATCATGTGTTGTTTGCTGGATGTGTCTTTCTGCTGAATCACTGATAAGGTGCTAGTGCGTTTGAATTTCCCTATATACAAAAATGCTGGCATTGGGTACCGATCTGTAAGGCATCTAGGGTCTGTCGCTGGTTTTGGGCCAGTGCTGGCTTAGTTAAAGTACTAAGTAGAATGGTACCAATAGCAAAAAGCTCCTGTGCTTTAAGACAGCACATCTAGTCTTTTCAGATTTGGTTAAATAGAACCTTAAGGTACGCGAGTTTGGCTAAAATAGTTAGCAGGCTAGTTTACTAGCAGGACACGGGACAATAGGCCGGCGGCTTCGCTAATAAATACTTATCAAAATACTCACACCACAATCAAACAAGCTGATTCCTGGAGGCATTCGAGCCTGTGGAGCGCCGAATTAGCCAAACGTCCGCCTGGCGGTGGCCACTGAGCAGGTGGTATTAATATCCACACTTGGTGATAATGTTGCTGACGGCTCGGACGACCATCTGCAATACGCGAGACAAACGTAAGACGCCAAATGACGGCTAGTGTTTGCGTTGTTTAGGTAGCCCATAGGTAGCGCTAAAGTTCATATTCTTCGCTAGCGGTAAGCGCTTGAGTCGGATGGTGATAGTGGCAGCAACCATGTCTTGCAAAAACAGCAGGACGCAACGGGCAGCCGAAACTGCCCCGGTGCGTCAGCTAGTGGGTCTGCCTGTTTCTCCATTTGCTTCTCATCCATCCGAACAGTGAACTAGTCACTTTCCCAGTCAGCCCCGCTTCGTTTTTATTTATCGGAACTGTCCGACGGTTTGAGTCAACCAACGCGTTGCACCGGTTACAGAGCGGTGTTCGGTACTGCGGACGTTATGGCGACAATCGCAACACAGCGCAGCGCGACAGAGAAGTGTTTCCGTAGACGCGAGCCGGCTGCGGCTCTCGCAGCCAGCAAATTACGAGCTGGCAGCCTCCACTGCAGCATTGCTTCTTGGTACTTCCTTAATGGCTTCTAAAACTTATAGCCAGCTGGAAGCGAACCATAACCTAACAGTGTATAGCAGGTGGCCGCATGAGGGCCTGACGGTTGTCTCTCGGCAGGGTCTTCTGCACTACGATTCTGACCGACTCGGACCGGCTGAGCGCTCAGGCGCCGGCCCGTACTAGCGCGCGACCACGCTAAAGCTACTACCAGCTGTGTCATCCGCTCATGCTAATGCTTACTCTGTCCGGGCTCTATTCGCATTAATAGTTAGGGCTTGTAGCTGCTGCTGTTACAGTGAGATGGACTCGGGGACCGTGCGGTATAGGCGACTCGAAGATTGACATTAGCCATTTTGAGAAGCTCGCGCGGCTCTCGAGAAGCCAGGCCACCAGAGGCGGGCATCGACTGTGGACCATCCTTCCTCACCGCTTGCTTCCTAGGTCGCTGTTTCAACAGCTTTTGCTGGGGCTATCGTGACGATCGGTGCCACTCAGAAGTTTCTTGGGCCAGCTCAGCAAGGAAGAGGAGCTCACCGTGCGACGTCGACCACCATCAGTAAACCTTTTTTGTGTGAGTGCTCCGCAATTTTCACTTTAATTTCCTGGTGCCTGGAGCCTTGATGGGGCAGCTTTCCCAACTGCTGTAGCTGATCGAGGAGTATAGTGGCATGTGGTAAACAGCTACTGCGAGAATTGGGGGCTTCGGCTATGCCTATGATCCACTGTGCATAGTGTTGCGTGTTGAAGCGTATTACAGGTGAAAGCGTGCTTTCGATATATGCGGTTGTTTGTGTATGCCAGTAAGTAGGTGAGGTTTAATTATCATTGAGGTATGCGTTGCTATTTTATGAGAGGACATGGCTCTTTGGTTT